GGCTGCCAATTTAGTAAACCATTGACGAGATGCTTGCTTTAGACCATATAGGGATTTCTTGAGCTTACAAACTGGATTTTTGAAGCCAGGAGGAGCAGTGTATCCATCTGGTAGTTTCATGTAGACATCTTCCTCCAAATCCCCATGGAGGAAGGCGTTGTTGTTGTCTAGTTGGTGAATGTACCACTTTTGAGAGGCTGCAATAGCGAGGAACAACCTGATGGTGGTCATTTTGACTACAAGTGCAAAAGTGTCCTGATAGTCAACACCCTCTTGTTGGCTATAACCTTTAGCAACTAGGCGTGCCTTGTGGCATTCAATGATGCATGTAGGAAGGAATTTCAACCTGTAGATCCATTTGTTGCCTACCAATATGACTTCTTCAGGTTTTTCAACTATGTCCCATGTGTGGTTCTTGTCAAGAGCTGCCTTTTCAACATCCATGGCAGCAGACCAGTAGGAAGAAAGGATAGCCTCTTTATAAGTTGTTGGTTCCTTGTGGCATGAAATACTCAACACAAAGTGTTTGTGAGAGGTTAGCAAGTTACCATAGTGAATGACAGAACTCAGTGAATGAGAGATACCTGGAGAATGCTGTTGGGGAGGATGATTGGTGTTTGTGCTCTACTGTAGTAATTCACAGTGGTAGGCTTGAAGTTTAGAAGGTGGGGGTGGTGATGGAGATGGATTGGTGTGAGGTGGGTTGAAATATGAGTTTGAGTCAGAGTCAGGGCGAGGGAAGTCTGGTGTAGGATTGGCAGTAGGTGGATGGGAAGGGGTGTTGTCATCAAACAAGGTAGGATCTGAGGGATTTGGAATATGAGTGGTGGTTGAATCTTGGTGAGGGGCAGAGGTAGGTTGAAATGGGAAGTGAGTTTCATGAAACTATGCATCTCTAGAGGTGAAAATGTCATGAGTATTAAGGTCATAAATCCTGTACCCCTTGATACCAGAAGTGTACCCCAGGAAGACACCCTTTCTAGCTCTAGGATCAAATTTGGATCTATGGTTGCTTAGTGTGCTAGCAAAACATAGGCATACAAAAACCTTGAGGTCTGTAAGGTCAGGGGGGTTTTTGTGGAGTTTTTCATAGGGTGTCAGGTTGTCAAGAACAATGGTGGGAACCCTATTGATCAGGTATACTGCATGTTTGACACATTCCCCCCAGAAGGTATGAGGTAGGTTAGCTTGGAATTTTAGGGCCCTAGCAATGGCCAATATGTGTTGGTGTTTTCTCTCTACTTTACTATTTTGCTGGGGTGTTTCAACACATGATTGCTCATGAAAAATTCCAGTTTGGTTGTAGAAATCACTCATTTGAAATTCCCTACCTTGGTCACTTCTGATTTTTCTAACAGGTTCCTCAAACTGGCTTTCAATGTAATTACAGAAGCTTTGCAACTTAGGTCTAGCTTCTGATTTGGCAGTGAGCAGAATGATCCATGTCATTCTAGTATGGTCATCAACAATGGTCAAAAGTATTTAAAACCATCGTGACTAGGGATAGGATTTGGACCCCAAATATCAACATGTATTAACTGGAAAGGTTTAGTAGTTACAGTTGAACTGTTTGGAAAGGGGAGTCTTTTCTGTCTAGCAAAATGACAGACATCACATGACAAAGACTTTTATGTTTCTATGGATGTACAAAGCTGTTGCAAAAGAGGGACTTTAGAATGAGAAACATGACCTAGTCTAAAATGCCAAAGATCAAAAGCTTGAGTGTTAGCAACTGTGATGTGTTTAGGGCTACTGTCTAGAGGTGGACTGTCAATTAGGTAAAGACCATGAAAGAGCATAGCAGAACCAACCATCCTCCTCAGCTGCATGTCCTGAATCAAACATACATCAGAGAAAAATGTCAAACATAGAGATTTGTTCTTGGTCAGTTTGCTCACTGACACAAGATTGCAACTGAAATCTGGGACAAACAGAACCTCCTCTAGAATTAGGCTGTCAAAACAACTAACAGTCCCAATGTGAGTAGCTTGTACTTGGTGACCAGTGGGAAGGGTGATATAGACATGATCAATCTGTCTATAGTTGTCTAGGTGATTAAGGGAACATACTATGTGGTCTGATGCCCCTGTGTCCAGTATCCAAGCTTCATTGTAGGGTATGCCAACTTGAGTACCGAGAGAGAATTTACCTTGATTTTGTGGAGTGCTAGTGAGGAATGCTGCACCTGAGAAGGCTGATCCAGCAGATGATTGAGATTTGGAGTGCATCAGTTTCATTAGCTTATCATAGTCTGCTTTGGTCAGTTTGAACTCCTCTTGAGTGTCACTGGTTTCAATAGTAGATGCAGTGTTGGCATATGTCTTGGATCTGGGGTTACCCTTTCACCTCCAGGTGGAGTTGATGGGTAACCATGTTTGGATCCTCAGTATGGCCAAGCTTCTTGTAGTGGGTGCATTCCAGAAATTTGCCTGATGGATGTTGGCCTTTAGGGTTCATGCCTGGAGGCCATCCATGCTTGTGGAAACATACATCCTCTGTATGTCCTTGAGCCTTACAGTGTGTGAAGAATGATCTGCCTTTCTTGTTGGCATAGATTTGTGAGGATGATGTTAATGCCATAGGTTCAAAGGGTAGTGTTTTGCCTTGGGAGGTGCCATAGAGGTGTCTTTCATGTTGAAGTACTCGTTGAAACACCCTGTCAATGGATGGTAAAGTATCTCCAAAAAGCACTTGGGATCCCACTGTATTGTAGTTGTCATTGAGTCCCCTTAAAAATTGTATAACATAGTTGGTATCTCTATAGAGGTGAACCTGTTGCATAGCTCTCGACACTAATTGTGGCTGGTGGGAGTGCAGTTACATGGATCTAAGGGTTGGTAGTTGTCAAGCTCATCTCTTAAGGCTATGATATCACCATAGTAGTCGGTCACAGAGTGGTTACCATGTTTTATAACAGCCTGTGCCTCGATGACCTCAGCAACTCTAACCATGTCTCCTTGTCCATAGCGAGCTCTGAGGCTGGTCAATGCCTCTGATGGCTTTCGTATCGACTTGATGGTCTTCCTGATGCCAGGATCCACTGCTTGTTGAATCCAGGAGAGCACCATGATGTTGTTTCTTGCCCAAGTCCAGGCTGTTGGGTGATCAGCAGCTGGCTCAGCAAGAGTTCCATCAATGAAGCCAAGTTTGTTCTTGGCCCCAAGTGCATTGTGCATTTCCTTACTCCAATCATTATAGTTGGTGGTAGTGAGCTTCTCTGCAACAAGGATGAGCCCTGGTTTTTCAGATCCATGTAAGTAGAATGGATCAGACATGGGATCAGGATTTGCTGCAGGTTGGGGTGCAACAACTTGTGCTTCAACCATCGCTGCTGGTGGCGGCTAGGGTTTCCAATTCCCAGGCTCTGATACCATAACAACAATTTGTGTTGTGGGAAAGTGAAAACCCTTAGTTTCATTTCATTGGTTTGGCAGCTTATATAGTGGGCACGGGTAAAACCCGAACCCGAATATTGCGGGTAATGGGTGGGCATGGATTTCTCACTATCCGACCCGAACCCGCCCGATTATACACATGCATATGTATTTTGTCTAGAAATAATCATTATTTTTCTCTAACATATTTCATATTTAGCATATAAATATAACATTTTCATGAAATTGTGTTGTTTTAGTTAATTTTCTTCATTCTAGTGAATTCTTGTCGTACTTTTTCTCTTACTTAATATAAGAATACGTGTGAATGTTAACATATTGGTTGGAGTTATGAAGAGAAATTAATATCCATGGATAACCGTGGATACCCGAAACCCGAACGGGTATGGGCATGGTTTTAATTTTCTACCCGTTTCACATGTGGGTATGGGTATGGGTAAAACCCGAAGTACTTTGGGTAGGGTAACGGATATGCACTATCCGCCCCCGACCCGACCCGACCCATTGCCATCCCTAGGTTCAAAGTAGCATTACAAGACAATCTTGCTTCTGAAGCAAGTACATACCAAAACAGGGAAAAGGGTGAAAATGTAACATTGGGATTAAAAGTGAAATATGACAACTTGATGTAGTACGCTGCCGTTCCAGCTGAGTCTTCAAGCTGTGCCAGAAACGATGTCACTCCACTTCCTTCTTCCTTGTGTTTGATCTGCAAGTGGGAAATTGAAATTTGTTGAATTATCCCCTGATACAAGGACTAGTATCATTACTCGAACTTACAATTCGGCCGCAAAAGGTTTTGAAATTCAGCCGGTCAACATCTTTGAAAATGACACCATGCGAAAAATGAACATTATTATAATCCTATTTCTATCTACTTGACATTAACCAAATCGTCACGCCCCTAACAGTTCTCCACCTACACACATAAACATTTCTGACGTTTCCAAATGCACACGCAAAGGCAGAGGAAGATGTTCATCAGGTTTGCCACATGGAAGAGATATATGCTTCTAAACTGGATTAAATACATAACCATAAAATTCTAACCATTTGTGATAAGTTGACCCACAACCTTAGGCTTCCCATTTCTTAAGTGGCAAATTCTAACATTTTCAAACTCATGCACTTCACCAAAATATACGAAAATCGTGTTCTATTTTACGACTTAAATTGACGATAGATGAAGAAATGTAACATATGATCGATTATATTCATATGTTGCATAAATTGAAGTAAAATTTGAGTTCCAACAAAGAAAAAAAATTAGAACTTCGAATAACAACGATATTACGTGAATATTATTGCAATAGCCGAATTCGTGTAAATTGGTTAACACATATCTTGTAGGAATACATGCATCCACGCTACATCCCCATACAAAATTTTATTGCTTGGTTCCTTGAAAATACATCAGTCAAATGTAATTTTTTTCCTTCCATTTGCTTACTTTTCCTAGATGACAAAGTCAAACAGTTCCCCAGCAGCAAGGGTTTGACAATATTATTGTGCCTATAAATAATGCAGCAACCCCATGTGTTCTGATATGCTCTCCAGAGTTCTCTTTTCCCCCCTTCTGAAATGAATTCCTTCCATTGCAATGCAATGCCGCGGCATCCATTTCTGTTGCTTCTTCTCCTTCCCTTGTTATGTAGCCATAATACAGCTGCCGATGATGATCAGCCTCACAACCGTTTTCTCCAATGCCTTGATTCTGAAAACTCTGCCGCAGCAGACTCCATTTCTAAGCTAATTTACACCGACACCAACCCTTCCTACTCATCCGTCCTGCAATTCTCCATACGCAATCCTCGATTCAACACGTCAACCACCCTGAAGCCTCTGCTAATCGTCACGCCGCGGAATATATCCCACATCCAAGCTACCATCAAATGCTCTGCCAAGCACGGCCTCCAGCTCAGAGTCCGAAGCGGCGGCCACGACTACGAGGGCCTCTCCTACGCTTCTCTCCTGCCCAATGTCCAGTTCATAGTCCTGGACATGATCAACTTTCAGGACGTCGCCGTCGATGTAGCTAGCAAGACTGCTTGGGTCCAGGCAGGTGCCACTCTCGGCCAGCTCTACTACGCAATCGCGCAGAAGAGCAGTACTCTGGCTTTCCCGGCAGGGGTTTGCCCCACTGTCGGAGCGGGTGGGTACTTCAGCGGCGGAGGGTACGGCACAATGCAGAGGAAGCACGGCCTCGCTGCGGATAACGTGGTGGACGCGGTTTTCATTGACGCAAAAGGTCGAACACTTGGTAGGTCCTCGATGGGGGAAGACATGTTCTGGGCGGTACGCGGCGGCGGAGGGAACACCTTCGGAGTCGCGGTTGCCTGGAAGGTGAAATTGGTTGCAGTGCCGGAAAAAGTGACGGTATTCAGGGTGAGAAGGACTCTGGAGCAGAACGCCACGAAGATCGTCCACCGATGGCAAACCGTAGCGAATGAGCTTCCACAAGACATTATAATCATGGCGACCATACAGAAAGTAAATTCCACCTCCACGGCTCAATTAACCACAACGATCCAAGCCACTTTCAACGCCCTGTTCCTCGGCGGGGCTGAGGGTGTGCTTAAATTGATTGGGGACAAATTTCCGGAGCTGGGTTTAGTGAAGGAGGACTGCACGGAGATGAGCTGGATCGAGTCGACCGTCCATTTCGCAAGGTTCCCGGCGAACACCCCGCCGGCGATTCTGCTAAACAGGACGATTACTCTCCTGACCGGATCAGCCAAGTACAAGGGGAAATCGGACTACGTACAGAAACCCATTTCGGAAACCGTGTGGGAAGGGGTTTGGAAGAAGCTGGACGAATTGGGGCCTCTAGCTGGCGCCCTTGTGATGATTCCTTACGGAGGGAAGATGGCGGAGATTCCAGCATCGAGCCTGCCATTCCCTCACAGGGCTGGGAACTTGTTCCTGATCCAGTACGACGTGTTCTGGAACGAAGACGGGGCCGAAGCGGAGGAGAGGCACGTCGATTGGATTCGAGAGATGTACAGCTACATGACACCTTATGTTTCCCAGAATCCTCGAGGTGCTTATATGAATTACAGGGATCTGGATATTGGGATGAACGCCGTGGAGGGGAAGACTAGTTACAGGGAAGCGCGGGTTTGGGGTGTGAAGTATTTCAAGAGCAACTTCGATAGGTTGGTGAGGGTGAAGACGGCTGTTGATCCTGAAAATGTGTTTAGGAATGAGCAGAGCATTCCACCATTCTCTCTTTGATGACTGGGTCATTGAAAGAACCTTCAATATTGTGTCATTTGTGGTTGGTGTCTCGTCATTGTCAATAAGAACATGGGCTCCTTTATTTAAGAGATTGTTATTTTCCGCAAATTACTATTTGCCGCCCACCATTACAAAAAGCAATTGCCAAATTTGCCCCTCTCCACAAATTCCCCCATTTAATTAAATATTATGTAAACTAATTAATTTGGGAGAGAGTTATTGATATTAATTAACTTTTTTGTTTATGCTCTTTCTCTTAGTGGCAAGTGTTTTAGGAAAATTAACTCCTTAATTTCCACCATTATATTTAATCTCCTTAATTTCTCTCGGTGGCAATCATGAAAAAAATGAATGGAATCAATTCCACCTCATAATCTATATGCTAATTAAATTACTATAATCATTCCACCTTATAAATCTTGGGTGAGTAACCGTCCGACGCTGAGTAGCGGACGCCTGGTTTCGTACGCAATCCGACGTTGAAATTCATAAGCCGTTCGACGCCGTGTTTCTAACGCCGTCCGACGCCGTGTTTCGTGAAGATTGGTAAAATTCTCTCATGATTTCATTACTGCTGTGAGATGATTTTATACACTATTGATAGCATACATGATGTGAACGTGTGATACAGGTGGAGACAAATACGGAAACAGGTGCTTGTGAGAAGGAACAGAATAACAAACAATAACAACCCACTGATGACTCGGTCATCCTTATCACGCTCCCGCAAGTTGAAGGGCAGTGACTTTCAACTTGTTACGAAAGTGCTGGAAACGTTGTCGAGGAAGAGGTTTGGTGAGAAGATCTGCAATCTGGTCGTCGGTGGATATGTAGCGAACTAAGAGTTGTTTGGCAGCTACACTTTCCCGGACAAAATGGAAGTCGATTTCCATGTGTTTGCTGCGGGCATGAAAGACAGGATTGGCGGTGAGATAAGTGGCGCCGAGGTTGTCACACCAGAGCTTTGGTGGGGTAGGGAGTGTGAAACCAATCTCTGAGATTAAAGATTGGAGCCAGATGATTTCAGCCGCAAGAGTGGCTAACGCCTTATATTCTGCTTCGGTGGATGAATGGGCCACAGTGCGCTGCTTGCGGGAAGACCAAGAAATTAAATGAGAGCCTAAGTAGACTGCGTATCCGGTTGTCGAACGACGATCCGAAATACTGTTAGCCCAAGCAACATCTGAGTATCCTGAGAGTTGAGGAGGTGAGTGACTTCATGTGCTGTAGTGCCGCAGAGAGTTGACAGCTTGAGCAATGTCAGGGCGAGTGAATTGGAGATACTGTAGGGCCCCGAGAATTTGGCGATACAGAGTGCCATCAGGAAAGGGAGTGGTGTCCGTGTCAGTTGGTGTTGTGACAGCGGGAGTGGCGAGAGCATTAGTGGTGGTCATCTTGGCTCGGTCAAGAATCTGCTTGATGTATTTATGTTGTGAGAGGTGCAAGCCATGAGGTGTCCATGTGGCCTCGATGCCGAGGAAGTAAGAGAGTCGTCCGAGATCCCGAACTGCAAAATGAGTCTGCAAGTACAGAAGAAGGTCCTGCAGAGCTGTGGGCTGGTTACCTGTGAGAAGGATGTCGTCAACATAGATTAGAACATAAAGGCGGAGGCTGCCGCGACATAGGATGAAGAGAGAGGTATCCGTCTTGGAACCACGAATCCATAGGCTTCCAAAGCTCGCCGGAGACAATGAAACCATGCCCGTGGTGCTTGTTTGAGGCCGTACAGGGATTTTTGGAGATGACAAGCATGATCTGGTTTCTCTGGATCCACAAACTCGGTTGGTTGCTGCATAAAGACATCATTAGTCAAAGTACCATGGAGGAAAGCATTGGCAATGTCCAATTGACGAATTTGCCAATTGTTGGAGATGGCAAAGGAGAGAATCAGCCGCATGGTGGTGGGTTTCAGGACTGGGCTGAATGTGTCCCCAAACTCGAGGTCGGGGCGTTATTGAAAACCACGAGCAACAAGGCGGGCTTTGTACCGGTCAATGGCGCTGTCTGATTTTGTTTTGATTCGAAAGAGCCACTTGTTGGAGATGACATTCTGAGTTGGAGAACGAGGTACGAGAGTCCAGGTCTGATTCTTGAGAAGGGCATGATACTCCTCCATCATCGCTGCCCGCCATAGGAGATGACGCAGGGCTTGTTGCGGCATTTTAGGGATGAAGGGTAGGGAGGTGGAAATTTGGGAGTTGAAGGTTTTGGGTTTGAGGTGGCCGGTTTGGGTTCTTGTGACCGGTCGGCGGGGAAGGGACGGAGCGGGGGAAGGAGGAGAAGGGATGATTCGTGGGGAGGTGTTGAAGCGAGGGAGGGTGGTGGGGGGAGCTGGGCGACGCAGGCGGGAGGAGCGGGGAGGAGTAGGCGGTGGTGGGAAGGGGATGGTGGGGGGAATGGGACGAGATGTTTTGGTGGGCGAGGGATGGGGAGTGGTCGTACTAGTGGGGGGTGGGATGGGCTGAAAGTGGAGTTGGGGAAATGAGAGAGTGGTGGATGTTGTGGTGGAGTGGGGTGGGTCGGGAGGAGTGGGTGATGGGCCAAGATGTATAAATGCTGGGGGAAGTGGGAGTCGGCTGATGGGTGGCGTGGTGGGGGATGATGGAGAGTGGGGAGATAGGAAATTGGTGAATTTAGGATTCTGAAATGGAAAGCAATTCTCATCGAATAAAACGTGTCAGAAAATGTGAATTTTACGGGTGGATAGGTTGTAGCAACGGTAACCATTATGCATAGGACTACAACCAAGGAAGACACATGGAGAGGATCGAGGTTGGAGTTTATGACGGGTAAGAGGGCGCAACCAAGGGTAGCAGAGAGAGCCAAAAATGCGAAGAACAGAGTAGTCGGGTTTTTCGATGTAGAGAGATTCAAGAGGGGTGCGTGAATCGAGGAGGCGGTGGGTAGGCGATTAATGAGATAGACAGCAGTGTCAAAAGCATAGGGCCAAAATTTGATGGGAACAGAGGCTTGGTGAAGGAGAACCAAGCCGGTTTCAACAATGTGACGGTGTTTGCGTTCAACACAACCGTTTTGCTCGGGGGTGTAGGGGCATGAGGAACGATGAAGAATGCCATGTTGTTGGAGGTAGGAGCTGAGCTTTTGATACTCATCGCCCCAGTCTGCCTGAAACATTTTTATAGGGAGGCCAAAAAACTTTTCAACATGTGTACGAAACCGAATAAAAATGTCAAGGAGATTGGAACGATATTTGGTGGGGAAAATCCAAGTGAATTTGCTGAAATGATCATAGAATAGTATATAGTAAAGATTACCATCGAATGACAGTTCACGGGCAGGGCCCCACACATCACTACATATTAAATCCAAGGGTCATTGAGCATGAAAATGAGAAACAGGAAATGGCAGTTTGTGAATCTTAGCAACACTATAGCCGTGACAGAGACTATGATCACTTTTATTGAAAACAAAAGGAGAATTAGAGTGAAGAATCTGATGAAGTACGCGAGAGTGGGGGTGTCCGAGACGTTGATGCCATTGAGAGACGGTGGTGTGAAGAGCATGGGGAGCGACCAAAGAGAGAATGGAAAATGGAATTGAGTAGAGTCCATGATAAACCCCAAGGCAGGGTTATGATCAAAGCAACGCAGCTACGAGGTTTATAACCTCGGATTGAAGTCTCAATCAAGAAACTTCACAAAACAGGGTGGTTTTGTGGTTTGGATGGAGAGTTTTCGTGCAACTTTCAAAAGGGAAAGAGGCTCGAAACCTATAAGTCGATGCTTGGCCACGATCAGGGTGATGATCCGATCGATACAAGCTCACGATTGCTTAGACTCGACCAAGCAATCCAACTCAATTCCTCACGCAACTAGCGAGATGAACCAAAGCTCCACTTTGTATTCAATTGATCAAAAACTGACTATTACAATGAATCAACTATTCTTAAATAGACCTACGTAACTTAACAAGCTTAAAACGGAAAACCAATTCTCAAACAACAAGGAAATAGACCTCAAACAGGAAAAGGAAAACACTTAAACACAATCCTAGTCCGAAACGGATTTGGATTTCCCCTTGCAAGACAGTCTTCTCGGCAGCTTCCATACGATCTTGCTCGCCTTCGTTGGAAGCCTTCAAAGTATGGTTTAGATCAACCAATGCCTCTACGTTGCTCTATGAAAATTGTACTTTCATGTGGTTGCCTTTGTGGAACTCGATTCTCCTTCAAACCAGTCGAACCAAGCTCCAAAAGTTGATATCCAAGCTGTCTGCCAGACTTGGAGAATTCCTGGCAGTTTTCCAGATTCAGCATAGCGTTTTGATCCCCTTGGAAACTCAACCTCTCGACTTCTCCTTGAGCTCCAAAGCATACCGATCGAATGAGCAACTCCTCTTCTTCAACATAAGCCAACGAACTCGAGTTTCTATCACACCAATTGAGACTTATGCTCGTCCAAAGTGGGTACCTGAAACAGTCATAAACACTTAGACAAAAACCAACGTTCTTAAACGTGCCTAGCTTGCCTCCATGGTCGATCAATTCCAATCGTTTGAAGCCCCAAATTGAGATCATATCAGTCCCTCCCCCATAAAAAAGCTTTGACCTCAAAGCTTTGGCCTTTCGTGCCTCGTAAGCATCACAGAATCGTTCCCAAATTGGGTCGTAAAATGGCAGCTCGAACTGAAAGTTCTGGCCAACCTTAGCGTTGTTCTTCAGCTTCGAGATTGGGGCTTTCTCCTTCAGGGATCTAAAACACGATTCGTGGCCACCATTAGATTCGCCTGACTTCGAATTGAAGTTTGGGACCAGTGTTGACCTTCAAATCATTGAATTTGCCTTCGAATCGTGACTTCCCAATTTCCCGCCACTGTCGTCATTTGAACTCGTCGAACCCAGGAGGGGTAAATCTGATTTCGGGGTTTCGAATTCAAACACCTTCAGTCGAATTGATCCGTTCGTACAGCTTCCTGGGGTGATGACGATGGGTTCGGCATCAGCCGTTTGGGTCGAATCGTCGCCAATGAGTCCACCC